TGTCTTCATGGACAGGAGGGAAGATCAGAGGTCTTCCTCACGGGTCCACTGGAATTTTGCTGGCAGCCAGCAGGAGAGGGAGAGACGACCAGGGAGCTTTAATTTGCAGCTCCTCCGGGGCCTCCTCTCGCGTGCACAGAAAATTGCTGCGGTTACCATGGCAATGCTCCGATCTCGCGAGAGTGAACTCTAGCCGCAGGAGTCGCAGGTTAGAGTTCACTACCCACTAGGACCACCAGGGATTGCAGGAAAAATCCCCCTTCCCTGAGTAAAGTTAAGAAGGGAGGGGGGATATAAAGAATTAGTATTATTTTAATTGAAAAAAAAAACATATACTTGCTTTAAGCTACCTACACACACATAATAAGTCCTTACACATTCACAGACACTGCCCTCCATACTAACACTGCCCTCCACACACACACACACACATACTGCACCCCTCACCACACACTGTACTCCTCATACACACTGAACCCCTTATACACACTGCACCCTCCATACACACTGCACCCCTCACACAGACACTGCACCCCTCACACACACATACTGCACTCCTCACCAAACACTGTACTCCTCATACACACTGAACCCCTTATACACACTGCACCCTCCATACACACTGCACCCCTCACACAGACACTGCACCCCTCACACACACATACTGCCCCCCATACAAACACACGGCCCGCTGCACACACAATGCACCCCTCACACACCCTGCACTCCCCACACACACACATTGCACCCCACACACACACATTACTGACCTTATCACCTACTACATCCCTTGTCCCGGAAGACCCCAGGTAAGTTGTCAAACTGTTCTTAAACGTTTTGACTGCTTACTCTGGGACGGCGCCACACCTGAAACCATAGCCACTGCAGAGAGCTGTAGTGGATATTGTGCCTGGATTGTCCCTGTAAATAATCTCCAAGTGCCCCTCGCGAGATTCAGTTCTGGATCCGCCCCTGCATCCCGGGAGGAAGTGTGTGCCTCGAGTCACTTCCTCCCAGACACTGGGGCAGTGCGGAAGGGGTGAGCTGGCTGTGAGGAGGGGTCAAGGCTGGGTGAGAGACAGGAGCCAGAGAAGGCAGGAAAGGAGGGGGTACAGGCTACATGAGCCAGTCCTTAACTCCTAAAATCCTCAGGCTGCAGACTGGACATCAGGGAAGCCACTCTCCAGCCCACAAAAGGTAGAAACTGGAGGGTGGCTATAAAAGAGAATATTTTGAAGTGCATGTGTATATGTATGTAGGTATATATCTGTGTGTGTGTCTGTCAGTGTGTGTGTCTGTATGTCAGTCTGTGTATGTTTGTGTTTCTGTCTGTGTGTCTGTCTGTGCGTATAGGTATGTCTGTTTATGTGTGGTGTGTATCTGTATGTCTGTCTGTGTGTGTATCTGTATGTCTGTCTGTGTATGTTTGTGTTTCTGCCTGCTTGTCTGTCTGTGTGTATAGGTATGTCTATGTGTGGTGTGTATCTGTATGTCTGTCAGTGTGTGTTTGTATCTCTATGTCTGTCTGTCACTATGTATGAATCTGTATGTGTGTACGTCTGTCAGTGTGTGTGTGTGTGTGTGTGTGTGTGTATCTATCTGTATGTCTGTATATGTGTATCTATATGTCTGCCTGTCAGTGTGTTTGTCTGTGTATCTATGTCTGTCAGCGTGTGTGTGTATCTGTACTTTTATCTGTGATTTTATACCTTTACTTGGAAAGTGAGGCGCTAAAAGCCTACCTGCGGCCCGTAGAGGTTTAGCCTATTTAGTTTTGGCTCCTTCCTGCTGCCAAGTTGTGCAGTTGTGTCTGCATTAGACTTTGCCCAATGTCAGCCAGCTCTGCATTTACATTAATAAACTTGGTGTCAGATCGATATCACGTGACTGTACTAACCATTGAGACCCACTGAAATCGCAGGAAGACCAAGATTTAACACTCAGCCCAGGAATTAGGAACCAGTGGTATAGATCGCATGCATGGATTAACTTTTGTTTTGGATTATAAAAAAATCTAAATAATATTACCCATAGTGCCACACCTTCTTTAAACCAGCACTGGTTTTTACCTGATAGAGAAATTAATTTCTCAGGCACAGCTTCATCCTGACTTAGATGGCAGTCCCCTTCCTCCTGATCTCCTAAGATCCCTTTCCTGATTAATTTTATAATACCCCCTGTCCCTTCTCCCCTCTGAGCTGTATATTTATGGGCATTCAGTTTGTTTTATCATATCCCTCTCACTTGTATCCTAATGTATTAGAGACGGCATTAGAGAGATAGAGAGAGAGAGAGATAGAGAGAGATAGACAGACAGATAGATAGATAGATAGATAGACAGAACGATAGATAGATTATAGATAGATAGATATATAGATTATAGATAGAGAGATAGACAGACAGATAGATAGATAAATAGATAGATAGATGATAGCTAGATAGATAGATAGATAGATCGACAGATAGATAATAGATAGATAATAGATAGATAGATTATAGATAGATAGATAGATAGATAGATAGATAGATAATAGATAGATAATAGATAGATAGATTATAGATAGATAGATAATAGATAGATAGATAATAGATAGATTATAGATAGATAGATAGATAATAGATAGATAATAGATAGATAGATTATAGATAGATAGATAGATAGATAGATAGATCGACAGATAGATAGATAATAGATAGATAATAGATAGATTATAGATAGATAGATAGATTGATTGATAGATAGATAAATAGATTATAGATAGAGAGATAGACAGATAGATAAATAGATAGATAGATGATAGCTAGATAGATAGATAGATCGACAGATAGATAATAGATAGATAGATTATAGATAGATAGATTGATTGATTGATAGATAGATAGATAAATAGATAGACAGATAGATAGATAGATAGATAGATAGAGAGAGAGATAGACAGATTGATAGATAGATAGATAGATAGATAGATAAACAGATAGATGTAATGATTTAAATTATTTATTTGATGCAATTATTATGTTGATTTTGCAGTACAATATTTTGTCACTTCCCACCTGTGTGAATTTTTCAGTAAGGAAATAGTTAATATGTACAAAGTCTATTAGGAAATGTTAATGAGACGTCATTAAAGTGCCCCCTCCTTCCCAGTCCGCACTTGTACCCCCACCAAAAAAAAAGAAATGAAAAGATCGAACGAGGGAAAAAG